ACGTTTCACAGCGATTCGCAGGACGCTCCGACGTTTATAAACTTGCCCCCTAATCTCGAGGCGTTCGTTCGCTTCGAGCTATCAGCGGACTGGAGGGAGAGATGACCAACGGGTTGATCCGTAGCTTCCAACTGGCGGTGTTGCTGGCTCGACTCGGAACAGGAAGGAAACGGGAGACGGCCGGATTTTACGTAAAAGTTCGCGAAAGGATTCCGAAACCTTGAAATATCTACGATGTATGTACATCGAGCGAGCCGCGAGCGAATCAGCTTTTATATCGAAAAATTAAATCAACTTTTCTCGTATCTTCTCTGGCGAAGAAAAAAATTTAATAAAATTTGATTCATCGCACGCTCGAAGCGTGTATTTTTTTTTTTTTTGCTGAAGTCGAGGTCCTATGTGGCAGAGCGCGAAAACGGGACACCACTCACCCTTTGCGAAAAGTTTTCGGCTCGAGAGGGGTGGAAGTTTTTCGTCCACTTAGCCGATCAGGAAAGTTCGACTCCGCTATACGCGATCTGTTAGGCACGGTACGATACACACACCTTTTTTTTACTGTAAGTGCGTGTTTCTCCTCGACGAATCGGTTTTACGGAGTATCAATAATTGATATCGAATATTGCTGGTAACGTAGGTGGTAGTATAACTCGGGGCTCGTTGCACTCTTCTTTTCAACCTGTTTGTGTCTATAATCCTGAAATACCTGAACACCGCCGCGTGGGTGTGCAGCTGTACACCGTGTACATACGCTGTGCACGCACGGCCTAGCTCGCATTTTTCGTTTCACGAAGAGGCCATTTCGTATCCCGCTTATCCTCGCCGAACTATTGCTCTCGCATGCTCCCCTTTTTCTGGATTTCCGCTATTTATCTAAACGTCGGCGTCGACGAGGCCTCTGGAAGAAGGAACTACGAAGGCTATGATTGAGCGAATATTCCGTCGAGATTGTTGCAGTCAAATTTAAAAAGCACGGCCCGGAAGGTATATTAATCACGCACGCGTACGTTTCGTGGTACGAAAGATTTACCGTTTCTGAGTTCTCGGGGTTCGCCCAAAATCGACCGAGGAACGCAACAATGGAACACGGGGCCTGCCGTTTCTCTGTTTAAAAATTAGCCCGGCTGAATTAACCAGGGAAGGTGGAAGTTCATTGGGGTTCGCTGGGAAAAGGTGGAGGTTTCAAGAAATAGACCCGTTTAGGATTTCGTCGCGAACAAGTTGCTAGCATTTCTCTGCTCGATTTCGATCCTTTTGGGCAGAGAGTTCGTTTTGGAAAAGAGCATCGGAGGAACTTTGACCGATGATTGAATTACAATCGCAATTATAATTGTAATTATGGATGGAAGATTTAAGTACGCATGAAAGAGCAAGCGGGAAAAAAAATGAATCGTCATTTCGGTGCCAGGCAGATAATTAATATCGATAATTGACCGGTAATTATATTCGTTCTTGATTATTATTCGCGAAATTATTACCGCGTATTCTTTGTTTACTTCATTACTCTTGAACTTTTAGCGTTTAATTATGTACGCGGGCGCTCCGAAGTTCGAACACTTTTCCAATGGAAAGGAAATTGAAGAATTTTATCGTCGTAGGATAGAGATAACGGAAAAGTGACGTGATCGAATGAGAGATATCTGACAAAAATCAAGGATACGATTCTCGTCTCTTTAAGGACTCGAACGCACCGCGGAAAGTATCTCTACGGTTCTTCGTTCTTAACCTTGATACGACGCGAGAGTTCCACTAGCATCGACGTAGAATCCTGTTGGGTCCAACTAATACAGTGCGGCGCTTCGAACGAGCAAATTCATTAGCGGCAGGCAGTGACCATTCAGCAACCAAAGTACAGCGTACTTTCGTGACGATGATTTATTGCAGCCTCCATTATCAAAGTCGTGCGAATAGGAAAGTGCGCGCGCTTTCACTGCGAGAACGGTTTTTCCGACGATCTCAATCGCGTATACCGATTACTTACAAAATTGCCACTCTACGCGCTCACCCCACGTAAATAAGTTTCACTTTTATTATATTGTTCATTTTTACGACGCGCAAAAGCGCCGTTCGCCGTTTCTTTGGGAACCATTAACGTGTAACGTTGAAGAATCCACGCAGGGAATTTATGGTCGCGTGAATTTGCATATAGAGTACGTGAAAATTATACGTAGTACGTATACGTAATTCGACAGTAAAAGGAATAGAGCGGGTTATATTAATGTCGGCATCATGGTTGGCAAATGTATGCACAGCGATTCCGTTTCCCGAGTTTACTGTTAGAAAAAAACGTCACTTTTTTTTTTTTTTTTTTTTTTTTTTTTTGGTTCGGGCAATTTGTACGTATGACTCTACGAAAAGTTACAAGTTAAACAGGTTGATTGGAACGGCGCAGAAATTAAAGAGATATTCAAATAAAATGTAACTCGTGAATTTCACGAATGATCGGTACGGTTTTCCTTCACTCGGTGTTAGAGCAAATTCAATTGGTTATACAACTCTTTCCATTTGAGCGTAATATTTATTCGTTCGATGCTCCATCCGGGATCAGGTTCTCTCCAGAAACGATATTATAAATACTATTTCTAAAGAGGAGTAGGTCGAAACATCGAACGAGTAAATATTACCGTCGGAGAAGCGAACTCGACGTATTAAATTGAATTCGGCCCGAGTGCTAAAAAGAAGGGACGGTTCGAACGTAGTTTTCGGTAAAGTCGGTATATTTGCAGTATAAAGTCTTCGCGTGATAAAATTGAACGTTCGCTGGTTTATTTATTAGACTTGTTCGCGTTATTCTAATTTAAAGTATCGCGTTATACGACATCGTCGAGCAATTTCAGTATGGACACGTTCCGAAGTATATGACCGAGGAAATCACTTGGTCGCATTCAACTTGCATAAATTTTCGAGCGCAAGAAGATGTCCCGAACGGAGAGTTGATCGATCGCGATAGGAAGCGTTCCACGCTCCATTTTTCGACCGAGGCGAGGCTCTTTCCAGCGATGGAAGATCCCTTCACCGACTCGAGTCCCGAATCTCCGCATAATGCCAACGATGATAAAATACTCTCCCGCGCACCTGCAAATCGAAAAATCGGCTGTGACCGTGCGAGCTGGAGCTGATGTACTTGTATATCAACGGGACGCGACGAGTAGGCGGAGGGGGGTGGGGTGGGGGGGGGTGGCGGATGCGATGCCATAATCAAAATGCAAAACTCCGTCGGCTTTCAATTGCATGGAATATCGGAATATCCGCGCCAAGTGAATATCGAGGCAACACACGCCCGCCTTCGAACGCTGTGAAAAACTGCGCGTTTCGAGTTGGTATGGAGTTTCCTCCGAAGACGGGTTCGCTGTGCAATTTGCAACCGCCCTTCTCGAAACGAGATTATCCGGCGTCGCGACGCACGTGTCGATCATACGTAAAGAAAAATTGTCGCTCGTCGAGGAAATCCTTCCCGGAGAGGGCGGGGTCCCTCGCTTCTTACTTTTGTCTCTGAAACTCGCGCGAGTGGAATAAGCAACGACGGGGACCAATGATACGAATTGCGTATCGATATCCACTCGTTTCCGGAGCAAACCCAACGCAACCCTGAGTTGGCATATTATCCTTGTGGCATATCGTGGAAGTCTAAACAAAAAATAAGGCACGGGGGGACTCGCACCCACCATTCTCGGATCCACGGTCGACCGCGTTCTACCTACGCGACCAATCCCGTACCCTACGTTTCACGTTCTAGTTTCGACTCCTTATCGTTGGGTACGGGAGGCGCGGATATTACAATATTACCATCGCGTGCATTCACCACCTCCCGATCAGAACTTGGGGTAGTCGTCGAAAAACACCACGAGTGTCTCGTCTCGATTACCTAGACGCGATCGTACAACGGCGAAATTTGCTTGTTCTGCCGGGACTTGACTATTTCCTTTCGCATGCAAATCCGTCCTCGTGCGAGGCTCGAGGAGGCCGTCCGCAGACGGTAAACGGCTGATTGCTGCCGGCGATTCGAACAAACGCTGTCAGACGGAATGTAAACGTTGAACGTCGGACTGGCCGCCAAACAGACACACGTCGCCACGACGCGTCCTTTGGCTTCTCGGCGTTGTTTCCAACCATCTGGCTTTGTATTTTCTCAACCACGCGGCTCGGATAAGCAGTCCTCGAGCTACGTGTATCGTTAGGTCGACAAGCCGAGATGAACACGAGCGACGAGGTCGTTAAACCGAAACAGCAGAAATATCCTTCCTCGCGGCGGCCTCTGTCTTCGCGATCCCCATGATGGAAATCCCATCGACGTGAACGTTCGTCCTCGAAGGGATTCTTTTAGCAGGGTGGCGGCAGACAGCAGACAGCCGGTGGACAGGAAGTCGGGCAAACGGAAGACAAGGTGAACACGCACGGAGAAGGATCGACGCACGTAATCGGCAACGACGGGCACACTTTCTTGGGCCCTTCTCCGTGGCCCGTGATCTCTGGACGATTCTTCCTCGCTTCCTTCATCAGCTCCAGTAGTCTCTGGACGTGCGCCAATCTGGCCCAGAAATCCGATCGCCTGCGTCTTCGTTTCTTCTTGGTTTGCGTCGCCTCTTCCTCCGCGGGTTCCACGAGTTCGTGGCACCTGCACGTCAACTTGTCGGAACTAAGGGGCGCCAGGATCGTGAAGCTACCCCAGCGATAGGACTCGACGTCCTCGGTGGTCAGCTCGCGTAGCTGGTAAGGATACTTGTCTTCGGTTTCCTCGCGAGCATAGAACGCCTTTCGGATGCTCATTGGGGCGTACACCTCGGTTACGATGCATTTTCCTAGGTAGCTGATTCGAATGTACAGCTCGATGGTCGCTTCTGTTTCTCGCAAGTCGTCGTCCAGAAGCTTGAACGTTCCTCGAGTCGACCTTTAACCGTTAACGACTCGATTATATTTTGATATTGTGGAACAATCAATTACGTGCTAGGTTTTATTTATTAACGCGTGGAAAATTTGTTCATTCGCCCCACTCGCCGTTCCCGTCCCTTTTAGTGCAGAGTCCGTCCTACATGGCCGACAAAACAGGACGTATTAATATCAATCGATGCCACGATACATCGAAACACGTGAGCAAGCTTTCGAGAGAAACGAGGATTTCCGCGGATACGGGTCAGACATGCCTCGGGCTCCCAATACAAACGAACAAAACGTTCCGAACGAATCCAGATAGGCGGGAGGGTACACGGTACGGTGGTTTTTTAAATTACATTAAGCTGAGCTGGTAACGTTCCCGGTCAGGTAATCCGTTACGCTAACGTATTTGCATAAACGCCAGCTTCGCGTATTTAAATGCATTCACCTTGATATAGGTTCCCGCTCCAGCTCCCGGGAAAAATAACCTTCCAGCTCCTTTCGTTCGCGAAGGTCCTTGATAATGCTGTTAAGCAGATCGTCCACCTTGACGAGGGTGAATCCGTAATTCTGCTGGCGCTCGAGCTCGAAGAACTTGGACACCTGTTTGTAGACGTAGAGCTGCACGTCCACTCCGGACACGTCCTCCTCGAAGAGGGTTTCCGGCACGGCAAAGAGCACCGATTTGCCGCCGTAGAAAGGCTCGGTTTGGTAATTCGAGCCCCGATACGAGCGGTAATCGCGCCGGTTAGGCACCAGCGACGTCCACTCGTCGTCCAGCATTCGAAACATCACGATAGTCTTCTTCAGGAACGCCTCGTCGAATACGTCCGTCCACGGCATGTACAGCTGCCACGGTCAAATATTTATGTACGTGAACATTCGAGAATTTAAGGATATATTAGATCTACCGGAACATTCTGTCCGTTTTGGTTACAAGTTTTTAACAAGCATATAGCGAATATTTATTAAAAACGATATACAAATTGCAATCACGCTGACAAGATGTCACGAATGAAGATAAAAGTTACGTTATTCAATAAGATTTATTCAAATTAATCACAAGTTTCTGGTAGACCTAATATTTGTAATCGAGTAAATAATGAAAAATCGATTCGAGCCCGTCCTAACAAAATTCTAATTAAAGGAACGTAAGAACGATAGATTCAAACTCTGATTCACCGTGACAGTCTTTTTCCAAAACACGAGTTCTTAAAAGCGACTGTCGTTTTATCGCCGTGGCAGAACCGTGGCAGAACCGTGGGTATAAAAGAACCGTGTAAAAACATGCAACTTTTAACGGCGTAGTCTCGGTAGCGTCGGAACCGCATTTCCCGGAGCACAGCCCTCGGGTTTTATTTTTTTCCCGATTGTCCTCAGAGTCGTTCGACCTTCTTCGAACTCGGATTTTATAGAGGAAGGCTCCAGGAATAGCGTTGTCCATTTTTATCGTAGGATGGAAAATCGCTCTATTTTTATGCGATCCGATGCGGTCTGATTGCGACACGTACTTTTTATTTTTATGAGGTTTTTTTTTTTTTTTTTTTAATTAACGATGATGATCCGTCGACACGGTTGTTTGTCTTTTAATGTTTAGACTCGACAGAGTTTGCGCGACCCGCCGCCTTCCTACCTGTCATTGACGACTAATGGCAGGTTTCTCCATTCTATTATTCGAAAAAGAAATTTTATGGAAGCGCACGTTTCGTACCCGGTATAGAAAACGATGACCGCTTGCACAAACAACGATGAAAATTGCAACGTATCCGCGATAATTACTTACATTTTGCACAGCCAGCTCCAGCATAATCATCCTCGAGTCTTGCGCTACGATCAGCGACGACATCGTCCCACCGCGTAATATATTACGTTTCGTTACGCGCTTGTTCAACTGGCCTCGCGTAATTCTTGCGGAAGATTGATTTATCGCCGATAAAGTATGACAGAAGGGAAAATTTTGAATTTTTTTAGTAGTTGCTAACAATCTCCGGGTAAATCACGGAGTTGGAGGTTAGGAGCGTGTCGCGTTTCCTGAATCTGCGACATCGCTGAGCCCACCTCTCTCGGAACTTGGTGCATCTCGCAAGAAATGAAATTCATTTCTGTCCCCATCTAACAGCCAACTTCATTTTCTCGATGGTCGGAAATAATAAACGAAACGAAACTCGCTGTCAACGTCGCAGTCATTTCATTTTCATGGAATATTTTTAGAGCTTCACCCCGGTGGAGTTCTGATCGAAGAGTGAATCGACGGAGGAATAAACGAAGCCTGTCAGAGAACAAAGACGTTCGAGTTGACTTCATCGATCTTCCGATGCAATTTTTTTTATATATACATGTACACGACGGCGTATCGCAGTGGAAATAAAGAAAACGCCGCGACAGCGTCGTTCTCGCTTTGTTCCGCTCTTTGTGCTCTTGTTTCGGAGTTGTTTGCAGTACATTGGAAGCACTCAAGAACCAGTTTCCGTCCCGTTCTGTAGGTGGAAACACCATTAAAAATACTTGGAGAGGATCGCGAGCATCGGGGCGTGGCGTGGAAGAAAATAAAATAAAATAAATACAAAAATGAAAAAAAAAAAAAAAGAAACGAGACAAAGCCGCGACGAGGGACGGTTCGGGGGCGGGAAAATCGTATTAACGAGGGAGATGGATAGCAGCGACGGTCTGGAAGTAAAAATCGAGGAGACTGAAACGATTTATAGACACCGCGAGTACGTGAAATCGGAGTTGGTTTATCGGTAACCACGAGAACGGTCTTCTGTCTGAAATTTTAGCAACCTTCGTAACTCGGGCAGCAGTTTTTATTTAACTTTGTTACTTTGACATCGAAAAGAGAGTAAATTTGCACTCGACGAATGAAAATTAACGGCTCGTTTTACGACTTGGAAAGATCGCAGTTGACAGATTACCGCGATAGCCGGTAATCGGCTATTTGGCTGAACGTGCTCGGCAACCCTGAGGTCGTGAATGATTCTTACGATTTTTACGATTAATTTACGAAATATTTTTACGATTCATTTACGAAATATTTTTCGCGAACATCGGAGGAACTGCTTCGAGGGAGGCTTTTCCTCAACGTCGGACGTAATAATTCGAAACGCAGAGCGATCGCGTGTGCGTGGCATGGCACGGCGCAACTCGTTTGGGATCCTCCTGACCATCTCGCAACCGACGCGACGCGACGTGTCGTTAATCGGTTCGCGTCGCAACGACGCGCGTCGTAAAGAGGCACGACGCGCGTCGTAAAGAGGCACGACGCAATCTCTTCCAGCGTCCAAACGATGCGACGATCGAAAACCTCTCTACTCCGTGATTAAGTAGAAAACAGAAATTAACGTCGGTTTAGGTAACTCTAAGGTATGGCGACGCTTAGGCAGCGAGGTAGGTTCGGTACAAAAGAAAACTTTATTCGGTGTTTATATCCGCATACACGTCGAAGAATATCGATAACGACAGCCATCTATGATATCAATCCAACTCGTTGCATTTCTCTAAAGCAGGGCTTCTTAAACTTTTTCATTCGCGACCCCATTTATGATTGTGAATTTTTTTTTGCGACCCATAAAATATGAAACGAAGATACGTAAATGTTTTGTGACGATGAAGAAGCCCTGCTCTAAAGTGACATAGACTTTCGCAAGGACGAAACTAACCGACCCACCTTTCGAACAGCGAACCGTTGCCAAGATCCGATAAGTATCGAATCCGTTAAAGTCGGTTCGGTAAGCGACAGGCGTCTCGGAGCGGGCCGACGCGACGCGACGCGACGCGACGCGACGCAATCTCACGCCAGCGGGGACGATCTTCGGGGAGGATCTCGGGCGGTCGTGATCGCTCGAAAGAGGAAATTAACAGCCGTTAGAGGAGCTGCATCGTCGGTTGCTCGCAGAAGAACGGGAAGGGCACGTCGCACGCTACGTCGTCCATCCCACCTTCCTTCATGAAGGCGCCGCAATTTTGCCGTCCGCCCCCATTATCCGGCTGTCCACCCCACTTGTCGCTCCACGCGGTGTAACCAGTTTTCGCCAACGAGTCGCCCAGCACTGTGACCCAATCGCCCTCCGAAAAGAGATCGTGTACACCCAGAAAGGCTTCGTCCGGGTACACGGCACCCTTCACCGGGCCCGATCGATTAAATATATCCATTAATATCTGGAAAAAGCATAGAGGCCCGAGGGTTGAGCGGGAGGGGTTGCGGGAGATTGAGCGACGCTATCTGACGCTTTTAATCGAGCCACCATAAATCGCCCTTTCAGCGGGCGCCGCCGTTTCGCGAGCGCTAATGGCGTCTGCGATGGCTCAAAGAGGCGAAATATAAATTGCTGATACGGTTTAATTCGGGTCCCAGCCCTGTCGCGGTCACTCGAATTTCGAATCGCGAATTCAATATGCGTACCGAGCCTTCCCCTAATCCGTGTTCGAGTCGAGGCGCATACGCCACGCAAATCGAACAAATGGAATCGTTCAAGATCGGAGTAGCTTTTATTCCAAGTAAAAAAAAAAAAAAAATAAAACGAAGACCTAGGAGCCCATTGCTAATTACGCGTGTTCGTTATCGCTACACGTCTAGACTCGACCTAAGCCATTTAAACCCAGCTATTTCAAATTTTCTCGTGTCGTCTCTCGCGCGCCTGGCGAGCAAACCGAACCGCATACACTCGCACACGATTTCCGCAATTGTTCCTGCGCGGTATCCTACAAGCGTGCTAGCATACTCGTAGCGTACCGTGCACCCCGAGCCAATGAAAATGCCCAAAACGATCGAGTAACTAACGCTCCACTGGAAGCATTCCTTGGAGAACACGCGAGAAAAGCACGGGCGCCGAGAAAAGGTGAACGTTGATTCTAACCGTAGGTTGATTCGAGCAGTCGACAGGTTGGGACGCGTTGCGAGAACTTACGTGCGCCTCTGCGAAAGAATTGACGATGGCCAGGTGACCGCCCTCCTCGATGCAAAGCTTCCGTGCGACGTTCCATGTCGCAGCTCTGGTGTGTAATTTGTGCGAGCCGATGCCAGGCGTGTGACGGTAATCGTCGCGTGCCAGCGCGGCCCGCATCCCGAGATTGCACGAGCAAACCATACCGTGCACCATCACGTTTCGCGTGCGAAGCTGGTCCCATTGATGATCGCGAGCGGGCCAGTCTAACGTAGCCGAAGCATTTCCGTTGCACGGGCACTTGGCCTCGCTTGCGACGTGTTCGCGTATCGGGGTGGCGTCCGTCGAAGAGCGGAATTGATCGTCGATTTTAGCTGGCACGGCAAAAATCCCACGAAGACCGACCGCGAGGATGATGCAATTAACGAGGGAATCGAACAACGGCGTGCCCATGGCTGCTACTTTCGCCCCCGTGTCGATAGAAGAACCTCCGACGCGCTCTGGGTCCAGCCGCTTTTGTCTCACTGTTTCGCTTCAAAGTCCCTTTGTCCTCGCTGAAGCCTCGTTTAACGGGCCGCGTACTTGGCTACGATCGAGAGGGAACTGACAATGAGACGTGACGAGATACCCTTGGTACTTTGCTTCTTGCTTCCTCCCGACTGCCAACTGCCAAGCATCCGAAACGAGCCGAGGCTAACGAAACGACGATGCCCGAAAGACCCGCCCAAAACGGTCCCTCTTTTAAACGAATGCCGTTGGTTGGGTCGTCCAAGGTCGGCTATCCTCGTTACTTCCGCCCAACCATCTGCTACGTTGTAACATTTAACCATCTCTACGTTGGCGACATCACATACTCTCCGAAGCGATCCGTTTTCATTCGCAGATGTTCGGGGTCCTTTCTTATTTTCATACCGTTCGTACCGTTTATTCCACGCGTTCGTTCGGTGACAGGGCACGGTAGCGAGACGTTCCGAAAACGCAGAGGATAAGATAGAATTACCTAATCATTATATCGACTCGAAACTAGCCCATGCGAGACGCGCGAGCCGCTAGTCCGCGCACTGTGCAGTTTGTTGTCTTCTGTGAGCTCGCGTGGTACCCGTGAGTTTGTCACTTTTCTCACTGGTTTACGTACGGCAAATGAATGGTTTCGTTGTTCCTATTAAACTTTGTTGCCGGCTAAACTCGTTAAAGGTCTTCGGGCTTATCGTCGAATTTTAGAAATTTTGCCAAGATTTCCAAGACTATCTCGAAAACAAAGAACGATGCAGTCGCACCAGTTCCCTGACGAATGGGCTCGTACGAGCCTCGCAGAAGCCCGAACCAATTAACTCCATGAAATGAAAAGTAGAGAAAATTGATACGCACGAAATGAAATACGGAGAAAATGTCTGCACAGCTGGAAATGACGCAAGAATAGTTACTCGATCCCGGACCGTGCGTACGTTTTCTTTTAACAAAGAGACCTCGAGTATAGCGTATTTTTCACGTTCAACGCCTCGATGTTATACAGCGCGAAAGGGAATATAAAATTGAAAAAAAGGGACGGATAAAAGATCCAGGGCAGCGTTTAAAAGCAGAGTAGGTCGACAGAGCGCGAATGAGAGGCAGAGCAGAGGAAGGAAATTGCAATAGGGAAATTGTAATAGGGAAATTGTAATGGAGATGTAGTGGAAGATGAAGCCTGGAATTAGGACAGTTTTCGTACTAGTTTCGTACGAAATGTTTACGATTTTGATATATCCCGCAGAAGAGATCAAAGCACCGATGTTTCGAGCGTAAGCAAACTAAAACTAGAAGCATCAGCTTGAATTTTCCAATCGAGCAACCTGAACTGATCCGCTTCGATCTTCTATTAAAACAGCTCATCCCCGTGGTTTGGAGCATCCAATGAAAAGGTTACAGTGCCGTTACTCGGGACTTACCGCGAGCAACATTCGTTTTTCGATACCGGAGATAGTATCGGTAAGTCGGAATTGCTATAATTGGAAATATTTTCCCTTTCCTTTCGACTCGGTCTTGCTCCGAGGTCGGCGCTCAGGAAAAGCCATTGGGAACTTTTCCAACGGGAGGAACCGTGGGGAAAAGAACGTCCATCGGAATCGTAGTTTCCCATCGATCGACGCAATTAGTGTAATTGCCAAGTCCCAACCGGCGCTTGACATATCCTCGGCAATTAATGCAGTGAAAACATCGGCAAGCTCGCAGCGTTCGTATCAGCGCGGAGCGCGAATGACGATGATCGCGCTCGTAACGCGACGACGGTGAAACTCCGTTTGGCGTTTCTTAAACGTTGGCGTCGGTAGACGAGAATTCTGGAACGATGGTTCGGGTAACGAGCGACACTCGAGCAACAGCTGCCGCCTGGAAAATATTTGCATTTGCTAGTAGTCGTCCAGACTCTCCGTTCTCCGCGTATCGATGCCTCCTCGTGGTCTGTTGTTCCTCGCCCGACTTCAATTACGGTAATTGCAACTTCGGTCATCGCCCGATGGCTCATTAGAAAGTAACGCAATTTAAACGCGGGCGCCTAACGATCGACGCACGATGATTACACCGGATGTATTCAGTTTCCCGCTTTCGTCGTTATCCGGAGAAATTGGTCCATTCCGTGGCTGAAGGTGAAGGGTGAATATCGGTGGCGTTGAGTTATGTTGTGGTTCGCGCGATATTAGAGGTTATAGTGTTGAAGCTGTCGCGCCACGTCTTCGCCTTATATTTATAATAGTTATGTTCAGTTTTAAATGGTACGTCTGGAAGAGTGAATCGAGATGCGTACGCGCGCTCTGATTGGTCGGGATTTTCTGTTAATATTTCCTTAACGAAGCCTCGGACAACTTTTTCGCTAAGGAAAAAGTTGTTCAGAATCGTCTCAGCTACCCCCCATTTCCGGCTCCTCCCCGACTTTTGGGACACCCTGTATAGGTTTGTAATTGCTTGAAAAAGTAAGTCTTGTTCAAGTCCATTCTTCTTCTTTTTTATATATTATATATCTGAAAGGGATCGTCAGAAGCTCGAAGTCAGATCCGAAACGCAATGGAATTAATTAACCTTCCTTCTCTTACACGTTTTTCGCGTCAACATGAAAATATAATACCTTCCCGAACTCCATACGTTTAGCATATACCAACAAAGAGCTAATTAATTAATCAATGTAATCCGATTCGTTTGGTATTGTCTCCATATTTTAACATGTTTACATACATACATACATATGTCCGATGAATTTCAACGTCGAACAGCATATTTCTCTTTTGTTCCTCGGTAACAATGGACCAAGAACTAGAACGAACGACAAGGATCCGATAATTGATTAGGAATTAACGAACTTTGGCTAGAGGAGGACAGAGGAGCCACTATTGCTGGCATAACTGTTGCGAAATTCCCAAAGCGACAAGACTACTGCAAAGATATCGTTTTGGTCGATAGATAAGCTACATGTAATTTTTTAATTAATTGTTAGTGAAATCCAGATCGCTCCAACGATACTTTTGTTACAACGCGTCCAGCGAAGATCGTTCGAATATGTTAGAATGATTAATCACGGGAGAACAAACGATCGTTATTCGAACGAATTATTCGTCCGAAAAGACTCCCTTCCTACAATTATCTCGAACAAATATTTTGCCTACGTTATTCAAATAACCCTGCGACGGCAGCTGAATAAGAACCGCTCCGGTCGTTCGCATTTATGCTACATTATCGAGCTAACGAATCGTTGCGTATCGCACCGACAAACTTGTAATCGTCGATAAATAAAAGCTCCGGTAGCCGAACAAACATCATGAAAATATAACAGAATATGGCAAAACGGGATTCGACGAGAGGAGGATTAAATCTTTCGTGCTCGGTGTAACGTTTTCGATTCGTATCGATTTCGGGCAATGTCCAATTGTTGAAACTAACGTCGCCAAGTGGAACAATCGATTGAATCCGTTTTTAAATTTCGAACAAAATTTGGTTCCGATAGAACGAATCGCGATATCGACTATGCACTTTCCTTTCGCGAATTTTCGTTCAAAGGTGGTTTATTAGTTGTAACCAGGCGCAGTGAGATGTTTCGATGCAATATTTCTGTTCGTTGCGAGCCAGTTACGTTCGCCGTTGAAACAGATCGTCGTGCCCTAGGGCAAACGAGTAATATGCTGCACGTAGGCGTGGACACGAAGAGGCAAAAAATGACGCGAGAAACGATTACGTTAATCAAGGTTGATCGAACGGGTCGCAGGTGCGCGAACAAGCAAATGCGTTTCAACTTTCAAACACGGGACACTTTTATGAAACGCGATTAATGGAGAAGCGGCCAGGCGAGCAGCAATAATTTCAAACCGCAGAAAGAAAATTGACCTTTGCGGTGATGTTACGATCATACCGGTTTTATTCGGGAACGATAGCGATTCCCGGTTTCAAGTGATGCAATATCTAACAAAAAATTGCCTTTGGCGGCAAAGCTCGAACAAAGTACGCAGCTACGTTATTAAAATAACACTCGTTCAACAGCTGTTTCGGTCGCGTCCATTCAAAATTAATTTCGATAGAAATAAGTACGAAATTGTTTCTAACCCGTGAAACTTGGCATATGTATGGCATGTACAAGGTCAGTTCTGGAAACGATTCTGCCGGCCGGAAACTCGAGCGGAACCCGTATCATCCCATTATCTCCTCGCGCAATAAAGCATTCCGTGGCAGTTCCTCCGTCGTCTCTTGCACGGCTCTCCCCCGCCCCTCTTTCCTCCTAGCGTTTCCTCTTTTTCTGCATCCGTCTCTTGGGAAAAAATATCAACTCGTCGTTCGCGCCGGTTTCTCTTTCTTCCGATAATTACGGAGCGTTTCGCCTTCCGACGGAAACACTTTTCGAGCTCCCGCGCCGCAAGAGATAGAAAATGCTAAATTAGGGATGCCACGGATGATAAACGACCGTTCGATCCGGAAGTTGAAACGTTAACGAAAGACATCGGCGGCGAGAAAAGTTCTAGTGGCGCAAATTGTAATCGAAGATGGAGCAGATTTAGCGGTGAGAAGATGTAACCAGTTGGCCCAAATTGTAGTCCGAGATGGAACAGACTTTGCGCCACGGAAAGGACCGTCTAATTGTATAGATGAAGAACGATAGGTGGAAAGCTTTTAAATTACGTCGATCGATAAAGGAAATCTTAGTTACTCTATTTCGAGTCTTTTGGGATAATTATACTGTACTCGAACATTTTTTTCAATCTTAGGCACCACTTAGGCTATCGTTTTGTTAATTCTGACCGTCATCAAACTGGGATTCGTCGTAATAGCGAGCAACATTTGCCATCGAATTGTTCACGGTCGAGAATTCTTCTCGCGGAGTGGAATAAATGATCGACGATCACCGCGGTGTATCTCGGTCGGTACCGCGAACGAATCAGCCCTAACCCAGTTTCTATTTCCATCCCCCCGATTCACGTTGCCTCTAATTTGATAGAGGGATGAAATGTCGCGAGGGGAACGCTAATTGCGTCGTTGAATCGACAAAAAGTCTGACTGCTCGGTTACTTCGTTTCAATTATCTCTCTAACGTAGAGGAAAGAAAATTGCTCGATCGAATTACTGGTCCTGAAATTCGTTTTCCCTGACGCGACGGAGTCTTTCGCTCCGTCGCAAGTTGAATTTAGCGGTTCCTCGCTGTCTCGAAATTCCAAAGCAGGCGAAAGAAGCGTGTACAATTTCGGCCGTATACGAAAAGGAACAGCGGAAGAATACACATTTTGGATTATTTTTCCTTTCGATTTTCCACGAAATCTGTAACGTCTCCCCTATCGGCACTTTCGATTCGCAGTTCGAAAAAGTTCGAAAAAATTCACCTGGAAACCTTTCAACGGGGTAATTGTTCAGGCGGTAAGCCGCGAGAAACCGCGAAAGAAAATCGATTTTTCCAAAGTACCGTACGAGAATGCCACCTTAATTAGGATACGACGCGACGCGAGCGAATAAAGTCGCAACCTTGGAAGTTTTTCAATCGCGGTTTCAATTTGCTCCCTCCTCCTCGTCGATGGAGCTCGTAAAGCTTGCCAGAAGACAGGGAGGTGGTCTCCCGAACGATCGGAATGCTAAATGGACCGAGAAGTACTTACTTGGGCGTCGCGGAGTCAGGGATCCCGGGATTTCGAGGGTGAAAGCTCGAACGCAGAAGCGATATCCGCGCTCGGCTCGTGTCAAAAAGTGTCGGAGCTAGAAAACCGGAGAGGACACGCGTGCAACCCGAGCCCAGGGTGAATCGATCGGTGGTTCTTGTTCCTTGAAATGGCTTCTGCACCGTTCGCGGAAGGGGCGGAGGTAATAAGAACGAGTTGCGAGGGATCGGGGACAAGATTTAAAGCGAGCCAATCGCTGCCATATAAACGTTTTCCGAATATACCGGCGTCCGTTTGGAGCTTCCAGCCGATAACAATATATACTTCCGGCTTTATCAATGCTATTTGTCTTCCGATTGAAAAGGCGGAATGAATTCAGAAAGGGCGGCACCTAAGTCGCCGGGAACGATCTCCGGCCGGCGTCGGCGTCGAGACGCCTCGATTTACGAGCAACGGGGGCCACGGAGACGACCGTCGGATTTATCTTCCGCTTCTCGCTCGCGGATTAAACAGGCCCAAATAAAGCATAGCGTGTCGCGGAGAATACGGTTAAAGGGAAATTCATTTTTCAACCGAACGCCACGCGGCACGTGAGAAAAATTCGGTATCCATCCCGCCCGGTTCTCGAAACTCGAAACGCGGATCCGTCTTGGGGACAGTTTAAACTCGCGAAACGTTTGAATAAATTTTCCGACCGGCTGCACGGGCAAATAAACAACGTCCGACAGAATTTGATCGTAACATTGTATTTATACTGGGGCGAGCACTTTACATTTATTATTATTTCAACACCCATGGGTTACTTTGGACGTAAGGGTACCGTTCGATAAACGATGGCTCTAATAACGTCGTAATGGACCCGTGGCGTAAAACTTTCGTTCCACGCAACAAGTCTCTTCCTTGTAACTCTTCCTCGAGCCACTTTAAAGTATAAAGAACAATAAAAAAAAAGTTTCTCCGATGGAAACCCATCGTTAACTTCTCCCTGCACATCCTGCAGATTCGATTCGGTCCAGTCGAGCTTACCTAAGTTCAACTACGAATAAAAAACAAACAGTTTGCACATGGTTCGCCTGGATCGTATAAAATACGCGAGTAATATCTCAGAGTATATAATTCCTCTCATTAACTCTTCGAGTCAATAGAAAAGTGTCACGTAAGGAATGCAAGTTTTCGCCTTCGGCTCGATCATCGCCCACGAGAACATAACGAATCCTCCGTGACACGTATTCACGCTCGTATCGTACATCATATATCGTATATCGTGTATCGCGTATCGTGTATCGTGTATCGTGTATCGTATGGCGTTTCAACGACCGAACGGAACCACCGAACGAAATTCTGACGAGCCCTGAAGCGGCCTTTGCGATGTTGTCTGGTTCGAAGCAAAAACAGAGGCGGCAGGACTTTTTAATTAATGCATCGCTCGTGTCTACCGACGTCCTTAGTCCCCTGCACCGAATAATTCGCGGCTGGTAAACAGGTCACGCGGATAAAGAGCCGCGAGAATCGCCTCCGCGATAAGGCGATTAGAAACGGCACACGGACAGCCTGTAAGTTTTCCCTTCCCTCCCGTAACCGTATCACCTGTTATAGAGCACGCACGCGAACGAAATTCCACGCGTTTCCAGCGATATTTGCTCGTTCGCGCGGACGAACGAACTCGGATCGTTGCCCCTTATCGATAAGTTGGGATTAGATTCGAAACTATAGAGCGAACTGTTCGATGACATAAATGGATTTGTCTCGGGGACCAAGTTGAATTGGAAATGAATTCGGAGATACGGGACTTTCAAAGGATTTTTATCTCACGCGGATGAAAGTGCTATCCGGTAATAAGAAGTACACCGCGAGGGAGGATAGGGTCAAAGAAATTTCAAGATCCGTCAGTTTTCGCTTTGCCGTCTGTTAATGGAATACAGTATGTAAGTACAGGGCGGACTCTCTAAATAAATTAATTTATCTGGAAAGAAAGTAAGTCGAAATGGAAATTAAGAAGAAGATTTTTATCCTTCGAGAGTAAAAGATATTAAAAGTTTGTTAGGGGAGGAAGAGGCGTATCGAAGCAAGATTTCTCGGTATACCACAAATATTACACGCTGTTCTCTGTAATTTAAACTTGGATCCTTTAAAGTCATACGCGCGCGTCATCTTGGAATGTATCGATAATATACGAATTGCTATCGCGCAATTCCAAATCGGTATCGTAAACCGATGGTACCTTTAATTAAGGCCAACAGCGACCACCTGCAAGTTTGAATAAAAAGTATTCAAAAGATAGATCGCCGGTGTTAGCGAGGAAACGTTTAATCCGAGGATACGGTCCGCCTCGAGGATCCCAGCAAGAGATTCTAATCGCGAAGGAATCTTGTTGGTCGGGTAATTGAAAAGCCAGTGGCTCGAGTAGACATAGTAAACATTTATTTATTTGTATCTCTTACCCTCTGACCGCGCCGCCGATAAATTCGCTGAAAACTTTGTTCGCGGTTGCATTTTATTAACATAGGCGGGGCGGGCAATGATTTATCGCACACTGGAGACAATGGAGACCGGTATTTCGCAGGCTGGTATTTTGGGTTGCAAATTAAGGAATCTACGTAATTTTTCTTCCTCCCCTGCGGAGGAATAATTGAATAAAGATGAAAACTGGTAGACGGGCCTTTAGTTAGTAAATCTTGTTTCCAAAGCGATCTTTCGTTCCTCTCTTTAAATAAAAATAATAAAAATTCACGTCCCTTTGGTTCCGAAATATTCGATCAATAATATTTAAAAATTAACCTTTTGTTTTCGTCGCGCATCGAGTAGAATGTTTTTAAATAAAATTCAGAGACTGCCCTCTTAAATCAACGAACGTAGACGAACGTAGACGTACGTAGGCGAACGTTTCCCGTTACAGTCGACGCGAAAATTCGTACGAACCAATTAAATCGTAAAATATTAGGGCACCTTCGAGCGCGGTGGAATACACCGCACCGCCGCTCGCGATACATTCACCCTTTCGATATTCCCGCGACATGAATATCGCAATTTTTATCACCGCTACAAATCACGGGGCGCGGATCACTTGAACGTGCTTTTATTCTCGGCCGGAGAAAAAAAAAAAAAAAAAGAGAAATTGTAGCCCAGGTTCGAATAGTAATTGAAACCGATCGATCCCCATCCTCCCCTTGACTCGCGACTCGCGACGCCGCGCCAACGTTTCTATTAACGCGTGCCCGATGTTTATTTCAGATGAGACGCAAATCCCAGGTCGCGCCTTCTTGCTTCTTGCTGCTGTCGCTGTCGATCGCCTCGACCTACATCGTCCCTGTCGCTGGTCATAAAGTGAGTATCGACGCCTGCATATACATACGTATCTCGAGTAACCGCAATTACGCATCGATGGCCTCAACACGATCTCAACTCGTCCGTTTACTGGACCTTTACTTATGTATAGTGCAGCTTTTCATTTGGGTAGCATTAAAATCCAGTAAACGAGCATGGAAGAGATCACCCGAAGAAATCATTCTTCGCAGGACAAAATTCTGTCGGAACTGAAACGATACCCGAAGCTCAGGTATATCTACCAAACAGTTTCGTTTCTCGTTCACCTGTCTACCTGCTCGACTACCTGCCCGTCTGGCTCGAGTGCGCGCAATATTTCTGCACGGATTCATAAATCGGCCTGGCGGCGCGTCTCTCGAAATACTTTTTCCCGGATCGCTGTCTTACCGCTCCTCGGCGTGCACCGAGCTATCGGCGTCGACGTCTGCGTCGGCGTCGGTCGGAACGGAAGGACCGCAGCCAGGTAGAGAGAAAGAGAGAGAGAGAGAGAGGACGAGGGTGTAAGAAGCTGCGAAGGGAGAATACTTGAAATAGGAGAAAGTGGGTGGGTTGGTCCCGTCGGGATCTGAGAAACGGAAAAAATAACCTACGATGAACGGAGTCGTTTGCTGTCTCTTCCGAGCGGTGTCGATTTCCTCGCCGGTGGAAATTTCTGACGCGAGGATACCGGTAGTTTGACGTCGGCTCCTCGACGCCAAAAGGAAAATGACGGCAACAACGTTTCCGAACCTTTCCTCTATTGGTTTCGAACCTATCAAATTTTCTCCCTTTCGACAGTCAGAATTCCTATCCAAACGTTTCGGGACGCTTTCATTTTCTAGAGTACTTTTTAGCTTTAAAAATGACGAAAGAATCGCCTGGGTTCATCCAATCTTCGTTAAAGCTGCGAATCCATCGTGGAACACCTTTTAAGCACGGTTCCTCCGCATAAATGAGCCCGGTTCTTTTTTCCGAAGTTTGGATCCTCGTTAATTTATTTTTCGCGGTTCATTCCCTGTGACTACGATACGTCTGTAGATAATTACTACGTTCGTCTCCCTAGGTGAACGCGAACTATGGTAGGTTTCACCGTTTGTTAGGCACCTTCTTTCACCTTTTATTCGCATAGAATTCCGACGATTGTGCTGCTCGAGGTTTCATTAGGCCACGAGCGATAAGGAACACGGTGCAGCAGAAACATGCATTACACGCGCGATGCACCGACTATACGGACGCCGACGCCGACGCCAGCTCAACGAGAACTTGACAAAGACCGGGGGAAGAATCGCAGTAGACGTTGTCGAGGGCACTCTCTTGTCCCGTTGCATCGGTATAATTCAACGATATTCGCTCGACGGTCCCTTTACCAGGGCAAGAAACGGCGTAGCCGAGGCGGCTTCTTCGAATGGATTCCGGTGCACGTTGACCCACTTGCCCGAGGCTGGTAATAATCGATCAAACTCAAATACGATTCGCTAAAATAGCATGCATTTTCTATAAACGGTTGTCAGCCGGAATCCGGGCCAAAAGTTAATTGGTATACCAGCCATTGTATAGTACGATATACCGACGCGGTGCGCCTATGGATATTAATCTAGAACTGATCTAATAATTTAGCGTTTACATTGCGCGCGAGACGGAACGGGATCCTGTCATTGCTGATTCGATCGGGAGGAGTGAAACTGACAACGCCAGCGAAATATCGCGACGGAAAACGAAGTAAATTCAACGGTGGTTGACGCTAAAACGTAAACACGAAAGTACTAGACTATCCATTGTGTGCGCTTTACGTTTGATGGAGATTAATGCAATTATTCGAGCGCCAACAGCCTCCAAGCGTATTTGACAAACATTTACATCCCACCGAAAGCAAATATAAACCGCGTTCAACGATATAGAGCTCTCGTGATTGACCACGACCGAAGGGAGATTTCCCAAACGCGAAGTGATGAAAATTAGTGGAAAAATAGCGCGACAGATTTATTTCTAAAATATTAGGTCTACCGGAATGTTCTCTCCATTCCGGTTACAACAAGTTTCAACGCGTATGCACATATTCGTCGAAAATTATATACAAATTCCAATCACGCTGACAAGATGTCACAAATAATGATAAAAATTGTATTACTCGATCAAATTTATTCTTTTGTTTTATTCTAAAAACGGACAGATGGGTAGACCTAATATGTACCAATGCAAAGAGTGCTCTTCCAAGTTGTGCATTCTTCTTAAATTGTCAATTGTAATTGAAGCAGCGACAGAGGTGAAATGCTTCGTAAGAAATATTATATATTGTATTTACAGCGTCGGTTAAAATCTAATTGCATCTAACAAGGTATACTAGGTCAGCAGCGTTATCGACGAATCCATCGGCAATACATTGGCTAAATGCGACATTTTGCACTTCGCATTTCGAGCCGCGGAACCAACCGATTAATGTATCGGAGATACGGTTTAGTCGACCCGTTCAATAATTTCGTATCCCCTATTTTTAGATTTTCTATTCATTAATTCTAATAGAAAGAAGATGAAATGCGAATAAGAAATACCAGGTGTCCCAGACTGAGACCGGCGCATTCCCTTCTTAATGGACGAAATCAGTTGGCCCCCGTTGTCTTGTCGCGAGGTAATAAAATGCCGCGAGGGAACGCTTTATGTTCGCTAAAGACCGCGGACGCGGCGCGCCATAACGACGCTAATTATTTATCAACGTTTTACGTTGTCGAGCGTCTACGCTTCGGATAACAACGGAGTTTAGATAGCTACGTCCCAAGAACGTGATCCCGAATGTCCAAAAACGGGAGGAGGCGTACGTTCGAAATCGGAAGAACAAGACGGTATGTAGATCAGCACGGCACACGGCCGTGCTTGGATTCGGTTGTCGAGGATTGTTTGTATTTACATTTATCATGGACGTCGCGCAATCAAATCCGCTTCAGGCAGCGACGAATTATCCTCGCGTACAGCCCTGGATGTACATACAGAGAGCGCGGGGACAAATGCCAAGCACCCGATCCAGCCACCTATGTGCTGGGTAAATTCTGGCACGCCAACAATTATGTTCGACTACACACCGTTACACGCGATCTACGAGACAAGTACTGTCCAGCGCGCTGCTGCTGCTGCTGCTGCTGCTGCTGCTGGTGCCGCATGCATCAGGGCAAACACTTCCGGTCAACATTAGCGGAATGGCCAGCATATACGACCGGGTATCGTTGACGGCACGTCAGATGTCGACTTGCACGCTGATTTTCTACCTTCCAATGGAATTGGATACGTTGCATCTATCGTCGACCGAGTTTGGTCGATACCACGAGATGAGTCACCGAACGTGCACCACGGGTATCGTAACCACGTTAGGTCATCTGGGCTCGCGGAAGTCCAAAAAGCCGTGATACGAAGGAGATCGAGAAGAGTTTAGGAATTACGTACGCGTCGAAACATTTTCGCGTCGTGCTTGATATTCGAGAGATCAGAGTTGTATAAAACGAGAGGGCTAATGGTACAACGCGCCGTAGCGAGGGGGTTAAAAGTTCTGCACGTTGTCGCCAGCTGTAGAGCTCGCACAATCAACAGCGGTGGTCGATAATCCGAAATAACGCGCGTTAATACAGAAAGTCCAGGAACCAACGAAATCGTCGGTCGTAATTGCATCGTACGTGACCGTCGACGGTTACGGCCGTGAACGTGTTAATGTATGTACAATTCCTTGCCTCCACCCCACACCCTCCCTATTTCGAAACGAAATCGCTATTCTTTGCGAAACAAATTGATCGTTCGCGTAACCACGTGGCGCGCGAAACGTTACGGCAACAGAGAGAGAGAGAGAGAGAGAGAGAGCGTGGATCAATTTGGAAACTAAATACAAAAGGTTGCAGGGCATATAATTACGGCGCGAAGTACTGGTGGGATTCCTGTGATCACCTATTTTAATCGATCCGCTTAGATATCGTCTAAATTATTCGTTAAAGTGACACAGTTCGTTAGAAATTGAAATGTTTGGTAGCTTTCACGCAAGTGTAATGCAAAGAATAAAATAAATCCGTAACAATGTTATAAATATAGAAAATTGTACACCGTCAACAATTCCAACCGGATCGCTTTGAAAACGTGGAGATGTTCGTGACGCTACGAACAAAAGCCGTTGCCGATATAAATCACCCAAAGGAGGTAATAATTACTCAAAGCTTAATGCTTCCTGGAGACAAGTTTTCCGAGTATTTAAATGAATCTTAAAGTTTCTGACGAAGCGTTGCCCTCCTCTCGGTAATTTCTGCGAGTAATTGAAAACACCCGTTCCCCCGAATGAACAATTTCAGGAGACACTAATGGAGGTAGGGAGCGGAGCGACGCGGGCGCGGGCGTTCCCATAAATCTGCCGGTGAAATAACGTAACCGTGGAAACGAATGGATCCTGAAACTAGTAATATTTTTCGATGTCGTTCTCATATTTCGACTTCGTATATTAAACCCGGAGCATCCGTGCCGCCACACGCGTGTTCGCTTCGAGAATCCTCGGACCAATTCCTGCTTCCTTTCGCTCTCCGTAGTACTCCGCAGCTCCACACACGGCCACGATACGATCACCTATACGCTCTCGCATTCCACGATATGAAAAATCGAACACATACCGACTGGAATCACTCGGTATCCGACGTTTTTGTCCCCTGGTATCGATACTTGGTCATCCTACGGCGTCCGGACAGGGGTTGGAAACTTAACGTCGAACGGATGTCAAACGATGAAAGATGGGTCCGACTCTCTGCCACATTCCCTTCGAGTTTCGACTATTCGAACCATTACCACGGAACAGATGTAAATTTGTAAAAAATACATTGCCAATTTCCTAGAGAAATTGTTTCTTCGAAGAGGACCACCGAAAAACGAACAACATTTTCCGAGAAAATTTTCTCTCTTGAGAAAAATCCTTTCCTCCGAGTGACCAAGTCATTAAATTTGCGAAACTGGAATATCGACTCTTCTCGATAGAAAAGATTACAAATATCGTTCGAAGCTCGAAACTATAGCCCTTAATTTTATTTTATATCAGCTCGATCAATCGCAGATGGCATCGCCACCATGAATTATTCGAGTTGGCGAGTTCCGGGGGAGACCTGATCTTTTATTTCGTTGCGCGGAAAACAGTCGGAAAGCTTCGACGCGAGATACGAAGGAACTTCCCGTCTCGAAGTTTCTTGCCGTCTACTCCCTCTCTCTCTCTCTCTCTCTCTCTCTCTCTCTCTCTCTCTCTCTACGCAAAGATATTAATTTTCGTAAGAAACGATGCTCGCGTGAAAAGCTCTTAAATACGGTACAAATACGTAGAAACTATTCGCGTCTGGTGATAAACTTTTGTCATCAAGTCTCGACTTTTCCGTTTCAAGCTATTCCGAGCCCTTTCGGATCCGATGCATGCAAGCCGCGAATAACGCGATCGATAACAATTTCCTTACGATGCCCTCGATCATCCACTCGAACCATCCGACTCGTAATTTTCGTCGACGCGGTAGTTTTACTTTTTCCAAGCTCGATCGTGCCTAATCGTGGCTTTCATCGATTCTCCCGGCGAGCGCGAGGTGACTCTTTCTTGACCCCCTCGCTTTAACCCAGTTTCCTCTGCAGTTCTTACGTATGCATTTTTTTTTTTTTTTCACTGCTTTCAGCACACGAGGCGACACCGAGACTTCACAGCGGCCGAAAGCTACGATGTGTCATCGTCCAGGATCGACAGCCCCTCGATGACGATATCGCCGGCGATCGATCGATCCTCCCTAACCGAGGAGTCATACTTCCCTGAAAGTAAGCGGTGATCCGATGATTAATCTATTCCCGCAAAAAAATTCGGGACACGCGGTTTCAGCGCGGTTTTATATTATATCATATTTTTATTCGCTTACCCGAAACGGACCTCTCCCTTGACGGATACAGGGCTGTAAGTAAACCGCGAGTGCAAACTTCGGGGCCTGATAGAACTCGCGGAAGGAATCAGCATTTAATTTGCAAGTCGATAGATCTTTTTACGCCAGTCCTGTATCAAATATTTTCTTTGGATTTCCGTGGTTACATAGGACCGAAAGATTATGCGTATGGTACCGAGCAGGATCGAAAACTTTAACCGAAACTATGCATATTTTATTATCAACTCGATACATCTTCGTAGGACTTTATTTAGAAACAATTTGGAAGCTTGAAAGTCTCGCTTAAACTCAAAAAAGATTGCACCCAGGGCAACGTACTTTTACCTACGTAAAACTTTTGACTAACGAATTAAAAATGAATATCGCGCGTTACCCTTTGAATAGAAATCAAAATTTCAACTTTTCCCGAGAATATTCCCGTAACGAACAAAGGAGAATTTCGAATGATTAAGAAATAATTCGAATAAAGGCTGTCCCCCTGATAAAACACGGCGAAACGAGCGAGAAGCGAGAAGGATGCATCCATCTGCAAGGTGTAAGGTACGGCAACGTTTCGCTGGGTTTTTTCTTTCACCCTTAACGCAGGACGAGAGAAAATTTGAAAAGAACCGACAAACATGTCCGCACGCCGGAAAAAATTAACGAACGCGTTTACACGCGGCATGCATTTGATACGGGCTGGTAAGGATCAAAAGCCAAGCGTTGCAGTTCACCTGTATCGCGGACTCTTTATTCGAGTTTGCAAATTACTCAAAAGCGAATTTTCTTTGTTCGCGTCGCGCGCGTTATTTTCTCCATGGACCGGCTCGAATATGTTTTCATTGAAAATCTCGGATGGATACACTTTATTCGACTCGAGATAATACGGATCGCTTAAAAAGTGATTAGAGCGAGGCAAAAGAAAATTATTTGAAATTTGAAGCGATTTCAAATGGGACGGATGAAACGAAAATTTTTACTCGTACCTTTGAGACAGAAATTTTCCGCTTGGTCGCCAGCGATAGTACCGGATATTACGGGTATTGCGTCTCGAGAATGAAACACTGAATGCCAATGGAGACCTTCGTGGTTCTTTCTCTGCTCGCGCCCGGTCTGGGGAGAGGCTGAAATTAATTCTTCTTTGGAAGCTTGTTCGGTTTCTCAGGCTAAATGATACGCCGCGAGAATCGCGTACAAGATGAGCCCGCAAATTAATAATATGGCGACTATATAGAATATCGCGCACATTCCGAATCGTGACTGAGCTCGCTATAATGGAGGACGGAGGACCAAATTGCTCCCAACGCCCTCTATGTCTCGCGCATAACTTCTGCTCGGGGTAAAGTAAGTAAATAATTTATATGTACAATGGGTCGTGTTTCGTATTCGTCCAACCAATCGCTGAGATAACAAAAGCAAAAGAGAGATGTAGCGCGTGATTTCTTCTATAATCAAGTAAAAAAATATAATCGGCGTTTTTGTCGTGATCTCAGTTTTCAAAATGAGCTTTCTTTCAACTGTAGCAGGTTCACTCCCAGCGAAATAAAATATTGTCAGGATATTTCATATAGGATATAGAATAGATATACAGGGTGTCCCAAAACTCGGGGACGAGCCAGAAATTGGGGGTAGCTGAGACGATTCTGAACGACAATTTCCTTTGCAAAAATGTCGCATGGGGCTTCGTTAAGGAGATATTAAGAGAAAACGCCGACCAATCAGAGCGCGCGTAGACCGTTGGAGCAACCGCGGTAGCGACGGCGCTGAGCGGCCGCGGTAGCGACGGCGCTGAGCGGCCGCGTCAATATCCTTCGATGCACGTCGAGTCACTTGTTCGCGTACGAGAGCGGCTACCTAGCGCGTAGCCACCGCTACCGCGGCCGCTCCAACGGTCTACGCGCGCTCTGATTGGTCGGCGTTTTCTCTTAATATCTCCTTAACGAAGCGCCATCCGACATTTTTGCAAAGGAAATTGTTGTTCAGAATCGTCTCAGCTACCCCCCATTTCCGGCTCCTCCCCGACTTTTGGGACACCCTGTATATTTAAGTAGGTGGAAATATTACACATAAACGGTACGGGCACGTAAAAGTCCTGCGTTCGTAGGTCGAACGTCACCGAATATAGTTCGTTGACGCAATTAAATAAGTAATACTTGAAATTTCTTGGTGCTGCAATTTAATGTTTCAGCACGAAAGACTCGCGTAACGCTTTCCGTTCAGTGAGAAATTACGCGAGAAAAGGCAATGTTTGGAGAGTCCTTCTTCTACGAGATTAAACAATATTCGTTTACCGTAGCTAATTCTTAAAGTTTACTTTCCGCAAACACTTTCTTCTCTACAAATTTCCATGGAACAATCGATTTCCCGTGGACCTGTTGAGTACTTTCGCGACCGACTGTACGTACGTATACCGAATGCCCACGAATTAGGTGGATAAACATCGGGGATCGCGTTCTATTCGCTCGGAAGATAAAAAGAAACGACGCGGTCGGTGAATCTCTTTTCGAGTCGCGAGCACTTTCAGTTCGCGGTGGAGGGTTGCGAAAATATACACTCGGCGAATTCGTAAAAGTTCGATCTCGAAACGGATATTGCTCTATCCTTCCGCTGTGTACAATGTGTCGAGCTGACTTACATACATACGGTACACGTACATGTATAGCATGGTCGCGATAGCGATACGTACCGTTACCGTTTACTGTAAACGCAAGGAAAACGATGACGGTAGCTAGAAGAGCACCTCTGAACAGATTTACGTATTTCGCTATCATCGCGTAATTTCCGAGCAACCCGGTTGCGTTTATTTTCAACGGCGAAAGCAAGTCGCGTCGCGAATGATCGTCGACGCGATATCAAGTATCAGAAAATAATAGAATTCGCGTTAACGCCTGCCACGCCGACGTTTCATTATCATCGACGATGTACATAATTGCTCGCTGCTTTGTTATGAATATCACGTGGGAACACGAGCGTTAATTAATGGGGTTTGCGAGCGAGCGTATTAACCATGCCAATCTGCACGTAGAGAAACGATACACGAAAGAATATAATTAGAGTTTCACGTGACGCGTAGCGCTACAAATGCGAGAAGTAGATTTATCTCTCGCCACATGATCGAGGATTCAACGTTCGGCGCGTCATTACCTGTAGCCTGTCGCATAAACGAGTGTAACGCGTAATCTCTGTTGCGTTTCCATCCAAATTTCTTGCTCGTGCACACTTTTATCGAAGCGTACCAATCGATATAGTCAACTACCGTTACCGAATAAACAAACCGTGGCAAAATTATGCGCGGGAATCACGACGCGTCGTTTTAATTCAACGCCGAAATGAACGTTACCGATCGGCGGGTCGCGTAAAAATTGCCACCTGCTCGTTGAACGTTCCGTTTAGGAAACGACGAGGCTTGAAATGTCTCGAAACAATTAAACGAGAGAATTTATAGCGTCGCGGGAATGCATACTTAACAACGCGAAATCCTCCGATAGTTTCAACAACTCTCAATTGTAGGAACCTTCGGTACGAGGATTCCATTCTGAAGATCTGAAACTTGATTTCTGGGCCATTACGAATTCTCGAATAGTTGCGCGGATACGTTCGCTTGTGTATATGTATGTATATTGGTTCGCGACAGATTTCAAGGGTCTTTGGGAGCCTACGGCGAAACAGGAAACAGGGAGAGCAGAGACCAAGAAAACTGACGGTTCCCCGCGATTTTTCTGCCACAGTTGATCCCTGCGCAAAGAAATATTGCGGGCCCGGAAGGGAATGCGAGCGTTCGCCCAACGGCACCGTGGCCCTTTGCGGCTGTGTGCGAAAATGTCCACGAAGGCATCGACCTGTTTGCGCGAGCAACGGACAAATCTATACCAATCATTGCGAACTCCACAAAGCGGCCTGCATCTCTGAGTCTCCTCTGACCAGAAGCAGACTCGTGAGATGTCTCCACCACGGTAAGAATTCCGCTACGATTCTTTTCCTATTTTATTCTCATTGGCAACTGTTTAATCTCGTTGTACATTTTATTTTTACATGGAAATAATTTGCTCGCGATTACTTCGAGTTTAAGTCACACGGCGTAATAGAAAAATATCTATGTAACGCGAATACGAAAACGATAACGAAACTTCCGTGTAATTAAACTTGTTATCGTTAGATATCGAAAACGCGCACACACGAAGGACCATGCACGCGAACCGAACGTCACCCAAGCCTGAGAACATCGTCTCTTATCCGAGAGCCAGGGATCACGAGAAGGATGACTTGAAAGATAACTTGATCCCGGAGAAGGACGATTTCGACTCGAAAGGCTGCACGAACCAGGAATACGAAATAATGAAGGTAGGAGACACCGAACAATTCATCCTCAACCGTTCGGATGGACAGCAAACTTAAACTAACTTCAACCTAAACTTAAACTGTTGAATTTCAATACGTCTATTTGAGTATATTACACGTTTCTTTAAAATTTCATTAAATTTCTGCGACCCTGCCCGTGCTCGATGCGCTAGCCAACAATAATATAAAAAATCATATCGCACGTATTTTTTGCCCAGAAGAGTAACGAACTTAACAAACGGCCGCTTCTGTGCCAACGCAATCCACCGACTACAATCTTGATTAAACGCCGCATATCCGCTAATATCTTGTTCTCCCTACAGGATAATTTGCTTCTCTATAACCACGCGAGATTAATGGCCCAAGATAACCATAGCAAGGAATACCTTGTCAGTATAATGTTTTCGCACTACGATCGGAATAACAACGGGAACTTGGAACGCGAGGAGTTGGACCAGGTATACACGCCACAAGTATATATCGTATATTATCGTAATAATATCTCCTCGGGGATTTCATCTTGTCAACGATCGCCTGACTCTCGGAATCGAGTTGCTCGGAAATGAAATCATTTCTGTCGCGTTCACTGTTCAGATCGCGGAGAACGAAGATTTAGAAGAGCTGTGCAAAGGCTGCAGTCTGGGACACATGATCAGTTACGACGACGCGGACGGCGATGGGAAACTGAACGTGAACGAATTTTACATGGCGTTCAGTAAACTGTACAGTGAGTACGCTTGTAGTAGGGGGAAAAGGGAAACGAGCAGAGTTAGAGAGAATTTTATTATATTGTACACGTATTGTATAATTGCAATATTATATACACAGAAGAAGATGAAGAAATAATTGATAATTCATTATTTAATATCGAGAAAAGAAGGGATTTTACCTTGATTTCTTTCCTGTAATTTGTAGGCGTTTCGGTAGTGTCTCTCGATAAATCTCTCGAGGTGAATCACATATCCGCGCGAGTGGACGATAACGTTGAAATCAAGTGCGATGTCACCGGTACACCGCCACCGCCATTGGTGTGGCGACGGAACGAAGCCAATCTGGAAACTCTGAACGAGCCTGAGGTGCGAATCCCTGTGTACTTTAATAGCTGTCTTAAAAACTGACCATTTCATGTTCCGTAGATACGAGTGTTCAGCGACGGCAGTCTCTACCTAACGAAAGTGCAGCTGATGCACGCTGGAAATTATACCTGCCACGCCATCAGGAACCAGGACGTCGTGCAAACACACGTACTGACAATACATAGTAAGTCCTCCGACGGCGTTCAGCGTCGCCACGATATTTATTCGAGTTTTGTCTAATTCGTGGTACTTTGCGGTCAGCTGTCCCCGAGGTGATAGTAACGCCGCGGTTACAATCGAAACGCTTGGGAGAAGAGGCGATCGTAAAATGTCACGTGGCCGGTGAGCCTCTGCCGCAGGTAGAGTGGCTGAAGAATGACGAACCTTTGAACCTCGAGCAACCGGGCAAATACGATCTCATTGGCAACGGCACCAAACTGATCGTCAAGTCTATCGATTACGCCGACACCGGAGCCTACATGTGCCAAGCGAGCAGCGTCGGTGGTGTCACCAGAGACATCAGCAGTCTTGTCGTTCAAGAACAACCTACGTCCAGTAAGTCATCGGCAGTATTTCGTTTTCATTCGTTCAGACTTTTAATAATAAACGAAACTGCGAAAAGGAGAAAGTATTCTTTTTTGTTTGTAACGCGCAATCTGTTATATTGCACTTACGTACTTAGTTCTCTGCCAGACAGTGAGAGAGTCGTTAAGGAAAGTAGTCGAATTAATCGTAGGCTGGCAAGAATGGTCTATAACGTGTGGAGAATCGCAAAAACGGTCTTGATTAATCGACGCTAATAATAGTTGTTTCGTATCTAGCAGCCGCAAGCGAGGAGCGCAGGTTCTTCTCTTTCCACGAATGGGGCATTTTGGTGTACGAGCCTTCCACGTGTCGGCCACGACACGAGATTCGATCGACGGACGTTATTCCTGGAACTCAAGTAAAGCTATCCATCTACCTATCATACGCTCAGATTCTCGTTATTCTCTACATTCAAAAAGCGACGTCTTCGCATCGTCGCAACGATGCAACTTCGTTATTTCGCGCGGCATCTCCATACCGTCCACTACCGTCGCATCGGTGTACATATATCGTTAGCTAGAAAAAACATCGAAAATCATAATTTGATCACAGATTCAGATTAAAATTTTTCCTTTCCTCTCAAGTTTGCCCTTCTCCTCTCTGCTCTCTTCTTATACATCCGTTTACTTTTCGGTTCTTGCACGTTAGGAACGCGTTTGCGGAATCACAGATGTTCCGTGCTCCTGGGGACGTGCCATTAACGTTGCAAACCGGTACGTTTACGTCAGCCAACCCGACAAAGACCGGGTACTGGTTATTAGCAAGATACAAATGGTTATAGTAGATGTAAGTAAACATTTTCTTCTTTTCGATCGATCGCGTATGGTATCGTACGCTACAAACAAGTCAAACCAATTACTGGTCATTTCTAACGCGCAGGTGATACCCACTGATAAGAATCCTGTTCAACTCTGGTACGTAGCTTCCCTCGATCAAGTGTGGCTATTAAATTGGCGAAATGAAAAGGACATCGGTGTGAAAACGGTACAAGTGATCGAGGATGCTGGTCAGAAGAAGAAACACAAGGCTATCCGACCGGAGCCAATCGATGCACAGTTTGATATCATCGAAAACATTTATATAGCAGAACCACAAGTAAATCTTTCGGTTGATCAACTTCGATTTAGCTTGATTTCGGCGAGGATTTCCTATATTTATGCGGTACATATTCTATTTAGGATATCGATCATCCATTCAAGTACGGTTACGTGAGTCACACGGACCAACGCAGCATGTACAAGCTCGATCTAAAGAACATGAAATACACGCGTGTCGCTGATTTCAGTTCTTACAATTGCGTTCCAAAGAACGTCCAATTCTCGGTTCTTTGTGAGTAATCTTTCTAATGTCATTTACGTCGACGATAATGTCTCATAAATTTCGAAGTAACCCGGTTGCGTTTCAGATGGTTTTGTGATAATCGAATGTCGGGAACCAGTTACCAATCGTCCGACGGGTCAACTACTGTTGGATTATCTCACCGACACAGTTCTTGTTCACAAACCGAAACTCCTAGGACGGCCAACGATATCGCCCGATTCCAGGCACCTTGTCACCTTAGACAAACAAGACACAGGCGTGACTCTGGTCGTGCAAGAAATATCATGTACTTTAAGCATTTTCTCTCAAACTTTACTATTGCCACGTTTACCATTATCGTTTATGGCGGTTCACCGAAATGGCGTCGTTTTACATTGCAGCTGAAGGCTTAAAATTCGCATTTGACGTGAAGACGACATTGAATATCAGCGACATCGCCCTTTATCCGTCACAGACGACGCACGGTTATGACATCTATGCGTCATCCATCGACAAAGAGGACATCCTCTTCCTCGATTTGTCCACTGGTGAGATTCAAATATTCGTACGCGTGACTTATTATAGAAACAGAAGGCAGAAAGAACCCTCTGATTTGAAATCAGTAATTAGATTCAACCGATTTAATTTTCGGCAACTCGTAAAAAGTAAACGATTTAACTTCTTTCTTTGCAGGCAAAGTTGAAATGATAACAGGTGTAGGAAAAGCCACGCCGCCAAATTTAACCAAATGGGGAAACCCGAACAGACCGATCGTACAAAGCGGCGTGTTTGGCAAATACATGGTCAGTCCATCAAACGACGCGCTCTTTATCCTGAACGGTGAAACCCGAACGATAAACTGCGAAATCGGTGGCCTAGTACATCCCGGAGCAGTGGTATGGTTTACAGTATCTTTACGTTAAACAATCGAAAATTCTGGCAACGATACGCAGAACGTCTAGATAGATAACAATAGCGAAATACTGGGATACAGATATCGTGCATCGTCGCATTCTTTCATCGAGAAGATAGTGTAAACGGTTTTCGGTGTTCATTCTTTCTTTCTTTTGATTCTTTAAATTAGACGAAGATGCGGTTCAAAGAAATTTTCAGTAATATATTCAAACACCGACACCATTATTCGTCGTTATCGTTAAACCATTAAGAATTTTCCGGTACCGATCTTCAGTAATTATGCCGCATTTGCGACACCATCGTGCGAACATTTTGATCGTTATTATAAACGCGAACATTTGCTCGCGAAACGTTATCGATAAGACTTTTTAATGTACATACATACAAAAGATCGTCTTTTACATACAGTTAATGTACCTAATCGTTACTCTATCGGTGGCCTTAGTTTTCCTCAATTTTCGTATATCCTCCATGTTTGTATCTATATATTTCTAACCTTTTTTTTTTAAACTTTTAAACTAGAACAGTTTTCGCGGTATTTTCGCCCGAATGAATAGCCATCTAGCGTTTAAGAAACCGAACTAATTTTCGGAGTTTGGTCAGCGCTTCTATCGGGAAAACGCTCAAGTTTGTCCTTGATAGTTCCTTTTTTGACTGTTAGATGGCGCCACTTACACTGTTCTTTTTTTACCGACATGATGGTAATTTACCACAGGTCGGTAAAAATCCGCGAGAATGGCGCCATCTAGCAGTTAGAAAAGGAACTAATCGAGAACACACTTGAGCCTTTTCCCGATAGAGGCGCTGATCATACTCAGAAAATAGTTCGGCATGTTCACCGCTAGATGGCGACACCGATTTCCCGCGGGAAATTCGAATTTCTTTTTATGCGGATTTAGTGATTACTTTAAAACATGATTCGTAAGTTTTACGTTGATTTGGTACTCGAAACCAAAACATAAAAACGTTTATTGTGGGCTGTCTTTTAAAGATATATATATATATGTCGCGGACATTTTTGTTGAACTTTTTATGCTCAATAATTCTTCCGTAAACTGTTTAGAGATATCTTTAAGCGTGAGCAAAGAAGTTTTTTCGTCACTAGCTTCGTTAAAATTCGTATCGTATTCGGCTCCCTTTTATCATAGAATAATGTTTCATAAACGTATACCTTCCTTGAGAAATGCTTCATAATAGTGAAAACCGCATAAAAACCCGTCAAATGGTTCTGGAGATTAGCCCGAACAAACAGACAGACGCCTACCAGGAACTTTATTTTAATATTATGTAGGGATATTTCGAATAAATTTTCAATGGCTATAAACTATACAACTAGTTTCCGAGACAGCGATCCATGATATTCGTTATATCGTACTATCTAATACAGATAGTAAATTTAACACACGGTTTTACTGATACCTGAAAAACTTGGGAACCTGACGTTTTTATTTACAACGACACAGTTGAAATTCTTTTGAAACGATGTTGGGAGTCAATAATATATTATGATATATATAGTCAATATATATATATTATTATATATTGCTAGCTAATTAATTGATTAGAAATCGAAGAATAATCACTTACAAGATCCGAGTGAACACAAAAATATAGTACAGTATAGTCATCTCTAATTGGGGCGAGAATTTTTACAATAAAACGTTCGAACGTGTAGGATGACGATATTATAATACAGTTATCGGGCCACAAATAGCACACTGACAACGGGTATGATGATTATGTATTATACGCATGCGTGTTTCATCTTTGTGCGCGTGCGTGTGTGTATGTGTGTGTGAATACGAGCATTAATATATACATATATACATGTATACATATACATAAATATATATACATATATTTATGTATACATATATAACAAGTAAAATGAATATCTTGTAACAAAATTACAACAAAACTAATTTAATAAATAATCTGCAAATACAACGTTCGTTTTTGCTACGCAATGTACATGCAGATTACAAATAGATGTTAGCAGTCTTGTATCCGTTCGAGTAAAAATGAAACGATGATACAGTGAATGTTTACAATCTATCGTTAAACGGGCATATTTTTAAGTGTCTTCTAGTCGTAACGTTCACCTTTTATTCGCTAATAAATTACGTCTGTTCAAAATCCTGTCTACTTTTAATCACCTACTGTACAAAGTCGACCGTACCTTTACGCTCTATGATCCGATATAAATATCTTCAGTCCTTTTCAAGTGTACTAACGTACCGCCACACATAACCTGCTTTCGCGTTAAACATCACTGACATTACGGCAGCATCGTAAGGAAAGTATCTTTCGATCGAATAGTAAACAATCGCCGGAGAAAAACACACAGCTACAGGTTAATCGTAATCGACAGTCAGCGAATTTACACATTTATATCGCGCACGCTGCACTGTCCGTAGCTTGTTCGTAAGTGGAATTTCCGAATACGGAGAAATTGGAAAATAGAAGGAAGAGAAAGAGATACGAAGGAGACGGACCACGAGCGGTTCACTAGGAGAAATAGATAATGAATTGCGTAAGCAGTTTTCCATTCAACACGACGTAGTCCGATCAACACGTAAACGCAACACTTGGTAAACCTCTTCTTCAACTTCCAATAACCTTTCTTCTTCACCACCTTTTTAATCTCATCGGCATTTATCCAGGTTTGCCAGATTTTTTGATTCAGCACTGGTTATATATTGCACGGTTTTATATTGGTCCCTTGCCGACTGTAAAAAAGTATGTAAGCGTTGCTAAAATCTTCGTCTTGAGGTTTCTGCCTGCTTGTGATTTCATCGTTGTAGTAATACCACACATCGGTTCGAGGATTTTTCGCATACGCCGTGTAGTGTCCAGCCGATACACCTACGGTTCCATTAGAAATATAACAACACTATGAATTCAGATATCATTCGAGTAAACATACAAACAAACAAACAATATGTACCTCCGAAATGACAAACGCAGGCGTAGAGATCGTACAAGTGTCGACCTACGCTTAGACCAACTAATGGGAATGTGACTTTGTCATCCAACTTCATGCTAGCACACTCATAAAACACAAATCTATAACAGACGTCATAAAAATGAACAACAATTATTGATTTCATATCGAAGAAGAGTAGAATTTCTAGGTTGTCGTACAACTAATAATAGACGTACCGTTTCAAATACACTATGAGGAACTTGGGGTATCTGTGAACTGTAAGCGTTTTCGTTGCGCACTGGTTTCGTTCGCATTTTGGACAAAACCAAGGATTGTGTTCGTCTAATATTTCACTGAAAATACACAGAAATTATAAGTTGTAATAATAATCGCATAAATAAAATCTTCAGGACGTAACGTCGTAATCATTATTATTATTATTATTATTGGAAATAAAGTTCACCTCTGACTAAATGCTTGAAGGCAGTCGTACAAAGACAGCGGATGATGGGGCCTCTGTTTGCTAACGCTGACATGATCGATCGGAGGTGATATCTTAGGAACGTGCTCCGTGTAACGCACAGCCAAAGTATCACCGTTTTGCAAGACTACCATCCCATTTTCCGGCACGCTACACCCCGTGCAATGCGCAGTGTAGATACAACGAGAACAATGGTGACCCTACAAGAATTTCTCTTTACTTGTTCAACTCTTCAATTTATAAAATCGATCGATCGTTAAGTCACCAATATCCGCGAGCATAAATGATAAATCTCTGACCTGGCCTGTAACAAAATGAAGCGTGTAACTTCCTTCGTGCGGCACGTTTCTCCTCACGATATCGTACAAGTCTTTAGCGTTCACTCTTGAAGGTAATCTCAGTAAATGCGGATAACCGAAAAGCTTTGTCCCTTTACGGTTATTTGTTGTTTCATTGGTCGTGTCGTGACGTAGAACCAACGGTACGTTTAAGATTTTAACTGCGGGCCTTGGTCGGCCCGTTTGATCTATTTTAATGAAAGACGATGCAGTCACGTACGATGTACACACTGGACACTTGTGAGGTTCCGTATGATCCTTGAAGTAGTTCTGTTAATGTTCAATAATGTATAACGAAGGAATTAACCAAGCAAGCGAAGAACTTGCTGTACTTGGAATAAACGCGATATTTCTGATATCCTATATTAAAGTATATCGTGCGTAGTAGATACCCTCAGTATATGGCAGCTTCAGATTAGTCTGAATTGAGTTCCAGAACATAAGCAGTCTGGCTTGCGGATTGTACTCAAATAGCGAATCATACGGGTTTCCATCTTTACACTTCCAAACGCCTCAGCTTGAACAAAGCTTCCCGGGCTAATTGGTAATGCAAAGCTATTTCTGGTTCCCGTACGTATCCTTATGATACCGTCCGGCTAGAACGTGCGTTGATTTAATCTCAGACCTTCCCGGGGTGAAATAGTGGTAACTGTGTACCTTGGCTGGTGTACCCCTACCGCTAGATTGAAGCTGCCGTTTTCATCATTGGGTATTCGTGTATGCGCGAATAAAATGTTGGCAATAGTACAACAAGTTGAGAAGTTAACGAAAAAATCTTTTCATTTCATATATTGAACATCGTTTTCATCGATATATTGTACGAGTATCATGGCAATAGGATCATATTATAGTAAATTGTAGAAGGAAGTTTACCTCGATGCAGGTATCGCACATAACGACGTTACAGCTCTTCCCGCTGTGCCTCTTCAAATCTCCATCAAATTCCTCGAGGCAAATCGTACATGGTACTTCCTCTCCCGTAATTGTACACTTTTGACAGGCATCGGCGTCCAACACACGATCCCCGTCACCATCTGGCACTGAAGTGTAAGCGTCAGGCGGTTCCGTGAGTTCAAAGGCGTATATAGATCGATTCGTATCATTGATGTGTCTCAACAGTATATTGTCATCCTTAAATTTAAAACCTTCATGTACAATCCAACAGTGATATTTCCGTCTAGTGTGATAAGCTACAGCAAGCAAGGTATGTAAGTCTCGATACCTACGGTGCAAGGGTAAAATAAGGAGTTGTGACTGCATGCGGGCTATTAATAAGGTAACAGACAACAAAAAAACAAGATCAGAAAGAACAGAAAGGGAACCCGACAACAACGAGAAACGAATCTGTACGATGAACTGTAGCCCCGTAACTATGTCTTTACGTTACGGGAGTGTTCTTCCATAATCCTGAATTGTTCTTGGAGGGCAGTATCAACGATTACCAAGACTGTACGATAAGCCGCTTTCTTCACCCTCCGTAATTATGCTGTTACAAAAGATTAAAACCCCATCGCCGTTTTTACATAAAATCAAGAGAAACTGAACTTTGTTCTTACTCGAAAATAAGTACGTTCGATATTATATTCAACGTAAATATCATATGAAGAATATATTGCAGATTTATATTGAAACAATACAAATTCGTAATACATGCACTTTAGGTGTCCTCAACCACTAAATACATAGCAGATTAAATAACACATATTATCAGCTTACCAGAATCTTTGATATATGATTTTCTAGAACTTCGGCAAGGGCAATATTTGCTACTGCAATGTTTTCCTTGTCGAGCGTTTTTAAAAGTTCTTCTTTCAATTTTCCAATGCGCGATTGCTTGTTTAACGAAACAACACATTTTATAGGTTGATCGCCATTAGCAGGTACGTATGTAACGTTCAACTGTCTTTCCATTGCATGGGGTAGAGGCACTGATAAATACATAAAAGGCTCATACGTAACAGAAACGTGCTTACATACCGCGCAAACAACCTACAATGAAGAAGGAAACATTTCCTAATATCTTCTCTGTTGCATGTTTCAGGTAAAAAATTTCAACTAAAATCATGATATATTTAATAAATTTGAAATCATATGTATCGGTAGAATGAGTCTTGCCTCTCGTGCTTCTCAAAGCAAGAAGGTATAGCTACGGAAAATTATTTTAGGAGACACTTTAATGGTAAAAGTCAATTGTTTGACATTACCCCAACGTATAGTCTCCATTTGATAAAATAAAATGGTATAAAAGTATTGTAAAATTGTACCTTGCTCTTAAACTGTCCCTGAAAAGTATCGACGATAATACTCCTATTAGACCTTAAGTGTTTTGCCCAATGTTTATCCGCCTCGATCTCATCTTGTGCCGCTATAGCACCGTTTCCGTAACTTTGAACCCGTGTGCATTGAGTACTAATGCTTCCAAGACCGTCGCGTTTATGATTCTTCTCTTGATCATCGAGTCTCATTCGTTTTACATTACATTTTTCTAAACCGTTGTCGTACTCTATATCGGAACCGCTTGACGCGTAATCTACACCACAATTGACTTTTTGAACGTTAACTTCTTTTATTCTTTTCACACTGACACTTTTATTGTCGAAATCATGATTCTCCATTAGATTTGAGTTGTCCAAAGGCATTCTTCGAGCGTTTTCTTTTGGAAACTTTTGAGAATCATAATGAATCTCATTGTTGCATTCCTGTTGCGTCACTAAGAAATTCGCATTGCTAGTTTTCGCTTCTTTATGAATGTCGTAAAGCCCGTGATATTTGGGAACGTTTTTCGAAAGTTCGATTAACGTATCCAGTCTCAACGAAGGTGTAACGTCATTTCCTTTGTCGTCAACTTTATTATGAATGAAAGTGTTTGCTTTTACTTCAACAGTTTCATCGGAATCAAGAGTCTCTTCATCGTCATCGCCATCGCCATCGTTGAAAGGTGATCCACGGGGTGAATTTGCAACGCTATCCAACTCGGCTATTGGCGAATCTAAATCTGAGGGTTAACGTTGAGAGATTAAATAATCTTTTATAATGTTTTTTTTTTGCTACTTATGAAATTTGTAATGAATATTTCTACCTCTGGGAGAACCAGCCATTGTGACATTAGGACTATTGGGACATTCCGGCGATGGCAAACAATCATACATCTCCAACAAATCTGTATTACAGTTAGAATTACTAGTGACCGGAGACATGACTTTTCCATTTGCATTCTCAACTGAATTAATCGAGTTGGCAGTCGTTGTAGACGATGGAGTTTGACAATTCTTTGTACACTTCGCTGTGTTCATTTGCTCGTGTAACGAGTCCAATAGAAGTGCAAGAAATTCTTGACAATCGTGCTGTCAATTATTATTATTATTTTTAATAATTATTCCAATATTTCCACTAACGATTAAGTAACAATTTTACAAAAAGTAAGATAAATTTACTTACCTGTCTGTAATCTTTAAATTGTGAGTGATACGCCCCTAAGGTTTGCTTAAATTCAGTTGGCCTGAGGACACTGTATCTGCCAGACCACATTTTTCCAAGGAGCACGCTAAAATGTGCCATCAGCGATCCTGGAGGAGGTAATTTCTCCCCCCTCTGCTGTAAATCCAAAAAATGTCGCAGAACGGGTGGGGTTGCAGTTAAACATTGCAAACCAGCAGCCATAAAACAAGTATTACCAAGATTATGTAGACCGCATACACCCGCGCGTAAAACTACATCCTCTGAAAAGTAAAGAAATAAAATGTCACTTACATTATAAATTTAAAAGAGTAATCCATTCGAAAATGTTTATACCCACCCATCGGCGAATCATCTTGAGAATCTCCTCCTTCCGAAAACAAATTGTTTAAAGCTGGAGCACCAGGTGGTAAGAATGGACCGTGTTCTATACCCGTTCCGCTATCGCCGATAGGATCTGCACCAATGCCTGCGATATCAATTAAACCGGGTGGTGGTGGAAGTGGAATGGCATAATCTGACGTAGAACTATTCGCTTCCGTCCTATATCCAAGTTAAATTAGTAATGTAACTTATATATTATATATACAATGGTTACTAAATGTCTTGTTAAAAATATTAATTGTACCATGTATCTTCTATACCCATATTAACTTCAGATGAAAGTAATTTATCCTCTTGAAGAGTAAGCGTATGATCTAAGGAAGATGTCAATGGACTGAGACCAGTAGATTCTAATACCTCTGATATCTCTGGGACCTCAGGCAGGTGAAAAATTCCAGACGATCCAATCATTGAAATATTTTCTACTTCTGAGACATTTACGTTGTCGTCCATTCAGATAACAAAATATCAAATATTACCTAGAAATATAATTATAGCAATGCAATTACGTTAGCACTGCACGAAAAACTTATACAATGCTACATTGTAAACAAAAGGACTATGAGATCTTATTATTTGATACTTTCTCTTTCCATTAACCCCTTTTAAGGTATAATTGATAAAGCATAGTCTAATTACTTTCTATGGATACTAAACTTAACAACGAATAAAATAAGAAATATAAAAAATATGTATAGGATGCAGTACATCTGAAACGATTAAAGACAAAAATTTTACTTACAATATTAAAATTACAGAGAATTACTAAACAATAGATAAAATCGTCCTAACCTAAGATGTCGGGAACGATTACCGCGAATTCTTTGGCGTCCTATTCGTGTAAGGCGATAAACTCCTCGAGGAACAATAATCATCGGTAACTGGATCTTTTACTTTTTAAATGTAAAATTATGTTATATTGGCTAGTACACTGATCAATATGGAAGAAACTGAATTCTGTAGGCTATAAAAGTACAACTAGACCTTGCCCATTCAAATCGTGATCATCCTGTAAATGTTGCAACAGCTCAAGTTTGACATAAACGTTCACGTACGATCACACTAGTTTGCAATTTATATAGATATGTAAGTTAAAACAAAGAAAAACAAACAAGAACAATATCCACTTACTTTACATAAAATCCACTTTCTTCTTTGTGAAATATCTATACCGCCATTGCAGTAAACGGCATGGGGCATGGTCAATGGATGCGCTAGAAAAGGAAGATTCGCTTACGGCGCTTCAGGAAGTTGGCATATTTTTCAATCCGCAATGTGGCTACTTCCTGTTCTCTAGGGTAATACCGTTTACGCGCCAAAAATTTCAAATACTAGTTTCGTTATAATTTCGACTAAATGCACGCTTTTATTTATACGCATTTTAGAAAAAAAATATATATGTACGCAAAAGATGGCAGTTTATACACCTGGTGAAAGAAATTTTTGCCGACCGAGGGGAAAGTCCCCAAGACACGCTTCCTCTTCGACAACATGGAACGTCCCTAGTTGGCGTCAGTTATTACGAGATCTTAAGCTTTATTTCTATAAAATTTTTCTAAAAATTGCCCTTATTATTCAGTTTTCGCTTTATGGAAATGCCCCGATACAAATTTCCACACAACGATAATATTTATACATGTACACATCCGATCGAATGAATGCGAATGTGAATGCCATTGGCATTCGATATACCGTTTCTGTTTCTGGCTGTTTCCATTCTCGATAGCAAAAGAATAGGCCTTGGTAAATGTTTGAAAAAATTTCGAAGGAATTTGTTTGACATGTTTTAATTATCGTGAAAATGTAAAATTTTTAGCGAAATATTTTTAAACAAGTTCCGGGCAAACGGTCGTAAATCGTAATACGAATAGAAAGAGAAAGACAATGCTTAGTACTACGTAGTAGTTGCTACGTCGATAATGTCGTTGATCTGAATGCAGCAAGGTTCCGGTGATTCGGTGAGTGTGCTCTTTTCAAACATGGAGAGGTTATTTGTTTGAAATAATATGTGGGATTTAGGAAACCGGGGTGTTGTCGCGTTAGTAAGTGTGTTGAGCGGGTGTGTGTTCCTTTACAACGTTTGGGGACCGATTCTCCTTCTTACGATTTCGCTGTTTCTGACTATTTATGCGTGCTATTCTTTAATCACCAGCGACAGCTTATTCTCGCCGCACGCATTCCTTCTATTCGATTATTGCAAACGCATCTCTCTTGAAGTTCGTGCAAACTTCGAGAGTATCGTTGACCACATTTGTCGGTACACTCGTACTCTTTGGGAAAGTGGAAATCGTCGTTTTCGGGAACTGTACCTAACCCAGACGAGGATGGAGAGACGTCGTGGATCGCATTATCAACTTAGCAGCGACCCATTTCCAACTAGAAGAAACTCTTCAAAGTTTGGTTCGATTTCTCGGCTTAGTCCGATTATAAAAACCCCACAAAATTCTGATGCCGAGAACATCGGCTCCGAGAATAAAGTCTACCATAATTCAGATTATTCGTCGTACGATCGCAGTGTCTTCGACAAACACTCATCGACGCCGACATTTCCACGGAACAAAGATGAATTTGGAAACAAAGCCAATGAATCGTTATCGTTGGATCAAACTCCATCAAAGAGAATGTCTTCCGCTTATTCGCCGAATCATAGTTTGTCGCAAGGTGAAAATACGATGCGTTTCACTTCGGAAGGATCGCCATGGGGAACCAGCATCGGTCCAAAAGTTCATCCAAAATCCAGTCCTATAGAAACTGTTCGACCAGCATCTGGACCTTTAACGATGTCAACTAGATACAATATAGATCCAAGGTAAGAATGGTTGCCCAGGTTTAAAGAATTTGTTTCATAATAAGAAGGCGTATGACTCCATTTCTACTACATCTATTTCTAATTTAATTTCAGAGTATACAACGACGTAACCTCTCCTGGGCTTACAACTCGCTTAACGAAATATGCAGCAGAAGCCAATAACAAATTAACTCATCAGTCACGGTACGGTGTAGGACAGTTTCCCAAAGTTAATCTTCAAGCTAGTTCGATTCCATTGATAAATGCGAAAGTTGTGAAAACTAAAACACCGATGATCGTCAGAGTGGTTCCTCTGGACGCCGTTCGATATTCTCCACCAGGAAAACAGAAACTTTTATCGGACTTGTGCGGTACGGATGGCAGTTGCTCTTCTCTTAGCGTCGTCCAAACTCTAAGAGATATATCGTTAAAGAGACACGCGTCGCGAGAAGATGTTACTTTCGATTTAGCGAAAAAGCAACGAACAGGTGGTATCGTTATAAATGAATACGAGACGCAAGATGAAACGAAACAGAAAAGAAGCAGAGAAGATTCTTCAAAATCGGAGGAAGATACATCACCGCAAAGTACAACGATTAGACCCACGAAACGAACTAAAACACCATCTTGTTACGATGTCTTAAATTCATTCAGTTCCAGCAAACACGTTGCGTCTGGTGTTAAAAGGAAAGCCGGTAAGTATATCACGTGTTACTATTAAGTTACGCGTAAAATTAAGTTTCGATCAAGATTTCGAATTCTGTATGTTTATTTTAGGAGACCTTTCGCGAAGTGGAACGCCAGATTTCGAAAAGCATTTCAAATCTTTGGAGTGCGTACAAAATACTAATATGCCAACATTACCAGAAACACAACATGTAAAATATCGTAATCATGATATAATAGAAAACAAGAACTCGGATGCGTGTAACCTCCGCGATAAGGTTCCCGAGCATTCACCGTTAAAGGGGATTCTTAAGACGAGTACGAAAAGTTTAGAAACTAACTCGCATGGCAAAGATGTCGATGCGAAGCATACGAACGTCTATAAAGAAAAAAATCAATCCACGGAGTCCATGGAATCAGCGAAATTAACAAACAAATTATTTATGAGAGCAGAACCGGAAAGAAACGAAAAGTTAAGAATGTTGGTCGAAGAGCAAGGTAACATTAGGGCGAAATTTACTACGGACGACGTAGAGGAGATAAAGATGGAGGATATAGCGGATATGAGGCAAACCAGCATGAAGGCGAGGCTGCAGAGCATGTTTGACGCTATATCCGGCAAAGGTAAATGCTATTGAAGTAATCGTCGAATCGCGAACAGAAAATTATTTCTCTCTTTCTCTCTCAACGACTCTTAACAACTTTTTCATATTTTCAGCATCCAGTAAAATTAATCCGGATGTCGTTATTCAAGCAGAAGAAGTAAATGCGGTTAAATCCGTCGCGTGTCCCGTAACGTGTGCGACCCTTAATTCTTCGACGACTACAACAAACGTTAACACAACACCAATTTCGACGTCAGCCGTAGCACTTAGTCCTGGCACGAGCGAATCTCATTCAAAATCTCCGAAACATGTATCTTTCAGTTTACCGACTACGACTAAACAAACGTCATCGAATCTGACAGTTCCGGTTACTATCGATTCCGAAACAAAAGCCGAAAACTCGTCTGTTTCCAAATCAACTGTAGCAAACTTTGGCTTTGACAAGTCTGCGGTATCTATAGGGACGGAAGCTTCGTCGACGTCGTCTGGAACATTTACGTTTGGTGCCGTTGCTCCGAATCCGAATAACCAACTTTCCACGTCCGCTACAGGCTTGCTTGCCACGTCTACAACTACTATCCCGGCGAGTTTGTTTGGAAACGTTGGCGATACCATGTCGAAACCTCTGGCCATTCCTACGACTCGTGGTGTGCTCGATAAGAACAACGAAATTAATCGAAATAACACGATATCACATGATGATGCTGTGAAAATGACTTCGAATGTAACGCCTGGAAGTATAACGTTCGTTTCGACGCCTCCGAACGCGCCAACGTCGATCGCACCGGCTGATGTACGAATCAAAGAGCAAAGTACGGAAACTACCACGAGCGCAATGTCTTTCAAAAGTATCACGAGTACCGTTTCAAGCGGACTGTCGGCAGTAACGACCACCGCCACACCGACTACATCAGCTTCGTTGTTTACCTTTGGAAATATCGGTAGCAACGCGCCAACATCGAAACCCGAAACATTTTTATTCGGTAATTCGACAACACCTGCGAATTGCGTATCCACGAAAAATAACACCGAGTCGAATATCGTGACCACCAACGCGTTAAACTCGAACGCAAAAGTTACTATACCGACTACGTTTGGATCACCTTCGGCATTCACTTTTGGTGCAACTACTTCGTCAGCGTCCAACAACAAACCTGTATTTTCTTTCGGTAGTACTGTATCCACTGCGACCAATTTATCAACCGGAACATCGGGCACAAGTACATTCGTTACCGGAAACAACAATAACAATATCTCGACTTCGACGTTTGACAGTTCGTCGGTTAACAATACTCGACAGTTCAATTCGAACTCTAGTTCGATATTTGGTAACGCGTCCACCACGTCGATCGCGTCAATCTTTGGAACAAAAAACAGTCAGCCAGTTTTCAATATTGCTTCGAATTTGAGTGCGATCGGTGCTCCGAAAACTACTACCACGACTATTTTCGGTTCCACCGGTGGTGTAACTAGCTCAGAATTAACATCCGCGAATTCAACGTCGGCTTTCTCGAATACCACCAGTGGTTCTTCTTCGGGACTAATGAGCACAGCTTCCGTGCCAATTTTTTCCTCTACCGTGAACACATCCGCGTCGGAAGTAACCGGAACGAGTGGTAATAATGATAATAATACTAATAATAATAATAATAATAATAATCTGTTCTCGAATGTAAACTCGACGTCCGCGTTTAACGCGACGGGTAATATTTTCGGGCAAACAAAATCGCCAGCTACAAATTTCAAAAGTACTTCGGGAGTATTTGGAAGCAACGCTGCGCCATTGTTTGGATCACAAGTAACCACGGCAGCCACGTTCGGTGGTGTGAACGTTTCAAACAACACGACTGCACCAGTTTTCGGTTCCACAAGTGTTTCCAGTAACGCGACCGTTCCCACTTTCGACACGCAAACTACCGTATCGTCCGGTTTTCGAACCCGAAGCAACGCAATGTCGCAAAACTCTCCATCGCGGACGTTTGGGGCCAGGACTGTCGTCTTTGGTACCGATAACACTTCGTCGACTTCCGTTTTTGGAGCTTCGAGCAGCGGGGCTTTTAATTCTCCTACCTCGAATACCTTTAGTGAACAAAACACGACAAACGTTACGTTTACCGGCGCCAAGGCTTCACCGTTTAGTGTTCAATCTTCAGCCTTTGGT